GGAGCTTGAGAATGAACATGAAAATGCAATGTTGGAAGATGAAGAAGAAGAAGACGAGGATGATGATGATGATGATGATGAGATAAATCCTTTGAGACTGCATAACGATGACTACGAAGATATTGATACGGAATATGAACCGATATGTTTTGATAGAGCATCTGATGATTTTGTGTTAAATAATAGATTGAAACCGCGACATAAAGAAAAAAGTTTATCCTTGCAAGATTTAAGTATTTCAAAAAAAAATGCTCATTTACGATATAACAAGAAGAGACATAGTTTAAATGCTTTTAGATATAACTATTTACGTATGCAACAAAATCCGATATTGTATCCTACTATGCGGAAAAGGCAAATGATACCGTCTAAATATCAACATGTGGAAAGTAAAGTAAAACAATACATAAAGAATATGAAGGAACAGAATAGAAGATCGATGGAAAAACGTATGAAAGAACAAGAATTTACGATGAATAAAAATTATGAAGAGAATGAGAGTAAGAAATATTTTTCTCAAATTATTATTTTCACGCTTGGAAGATATGTCTATTGTTTTATTTGTTATTGTTTGTAATTATGAAGAGAGGTATTATTCTTTGAGTATTTAAATATGTGCGTATAATGAGTAATGAGTATATGTGTGCGCATATGTGTGTGTGTGTACGCATATATAATAAAATATTGTATACATTAGCGGTAAGATGTTAAAAGAAACGATAAGATATTCTTCCATGTGACTGATTAATCAAGTTTTAAAATGATTCGTGTATAGGTAATTAATAAAAATTATAATTTTTACTTTTTATTTACCAGACTGTGACACCGAACGATTAAAAAATACGAGAATAACGAATAAAACTATAAAAGATTATGTAGAAAAAGCTATTCAGGATTTACAACAGGAAGAAATTGAAAGTAATAATTTGATGTATGATACGGCGCAATTATTAGAAAATGGGGAAAATAATAAAACTTCTGATAGATTGATTGAAAATCGATATAAACATAATCGAAAAGATATTGAATACAATGATGTTCAAAATGAGAAACGTATGCAAAATTCTGATGATAAATTGGAAAAACGAAACGGTTCTGTAGACGTCGATAAACATCGTATTGAATATCAAAATACTTTGGATAAAAATATAAAATTCGGTAACGTAAATCAATCTTCTCTGGTTAATAATCATCAGCCGACACCTACGTTTATAAATTTGCGTACATTGAGCTATGAGGAATACATGCATGATGTTTCTAATACTGGTCAAAGAGAAGAATTGTCCGAACACGAACAAGAAAAAACGAATGAAACTCGAGTATATAACGAAGCGGAAATGATTAGTTCGCAAGAAATGGATAACGGTAACGTTGATTGTCCTTTGAAAATTGCAAGCGTTAAAAGTATCTGCGCGATGCAAGATGAATCGGAAAATTTAAATTTTACAAAGATGAATACGACTGAAAAAATAAATATCGAGAATACCGAAGTGGTTGAATTGAAGGCTCGGCTTAGTCAAAAAGATGCACAATTTCATAATTTGCGAGATGCTTATCAAAAAGTATTGACTGAAAATATAAAAATGAAACAAGAATTGGATGTTTTAAAAAATTCTTTGGCAAAATATAAAAATGAAAATAGAACGTGTGAAACGAAAATTGCATCTGTACAAACTGAAACGATTAAAGAATCTATTTCTAATCGGGATACCGTAGCGGAAGAAACGAATAATAAAATATCTCGTAGTAGTGTTGCGTCTACGGGAAGTTCTAATGATCAATGGATAGAAAGTGATTACAGTCCGGCTATATCTGTTAAACCTCCTGATTTGACTCCCATTCTTAATTCGGATGACAGTATCGTACTCGCTGATGCTAGTGTTCCAAAAAAAATAATGCATCCGTTATCTCGAACGTTTATTACCTCGTCTAGAATTTTACAAACGCTTTCGAATATAACGCAAGGTAAGACAAAAGTTGAAACTCCTTCGATAAGAAATAACAAGAAACGATTAAACGAAAAATCTTCGAATAAATCGTCAAATTTAGATTGCAACTCTTCGATTCATTCATCCTGTTCCAAGAAAAGAAAAGCAACGGAAATGCCTGGTTCTTCTACTTTCGTTAAACCTTTTAAAATACCTCACACAACTGTGGAATCTTTGGAAGGAAAAAATAATACTAATGGTACGAATGATGTGGAATATAAATATTCCAAGGAACGTGTATCGTCGAAAATAGAAAGAGAGGAGGAAAGTACGGAGGTTAATAAAAATATTAATGGTCCTATTTCTGTGGAAACTAAGATGGAAGGAACGGATGATTGTGAGGATAACGTAAAATGCTTCATATATAGAGAGGATGAAAATAGTAAAAACAAAAGTTTTCTAATTCAAGCGGGAGAATCGACGAAGAATGAATTGGATGATGAAAAAAATCGTATTCAAGAATGTGGTCCGTATTTGTTGGGTAATCTTGAAGTACGAATGTCTGAGATAAACGGAACGATAAGTGTATGGGGTAAAGAGATAAATAATGAGTATACGAGTGATAATGAGGATGATGTGGAGGAATCCGAAAAGAAATCGTCTGAAAAGAAAACATGCCATTTTTGGTCGAATACATCGCAAACAAGATTTAATGGAAGTCCGCTTATGTGTTCGACCAATAAAAAGCAGAAAATTCCGTTAAAATTCAATAGATCCAATATTTCTCAATGTTGCCATTCTTTATCGTTAAATTCGATAAAAATGCATCCTTCGGTGGATGATGTAGGTGACAAAAGACATACGAATAATATTTTCAGCCCGAATACTAGTATTTCTTCTTGTAAAAATTGCAATTCTTCGATGTGTCGTAAAGAACGATCGATATGTAAAGATACTTCGCAAGAAAAATTACATTCCTGTTGTGTACATCATACTGAAATTATGGATAAAGAATGCAGTTGTGGTTCGTATCATGAGAAACAAAAACATGATGTTAATCTTAAGCATTGTAAAGATAAATTTCACAATAAGGGAATTCGGAGAAATTTATGCAAAAATATATTTACATCGGATTCGAAAAATCATTCGCATGAAAATTGTACTGCGATCATCGATAAAGGGATTTGCAAATACCATACGTGTCGATGTTCGCTTCAAAATGTAATGGACAACAACGGTTCACGTTCGCGATGCTGCAACGCTGTTAAAGATGTTTCTTGTACATATAAATTTTCGGACAATATAAATAACACGGAAATCCACAGAAATTCTGATAGATGTAATCTTAGTCCTTCAAAAGATGGTGAAGAAGATCCTTTAATTCCACTTAAACGAACTAATGAAACGCTTGAAGTAAGATAATGAAAAGAATATAATTATAAATTAAATATGCAAAAACAAATTTATCAGCTTTATGTATATTTATTCTCTATGTAATATCTCTATGTATATTTTTTTTATGCATAGGCGAGACAACGAAGATTAAGCGGTGGTAAAAGGGTGCGAGGAATTCTTATGGATTTTTTAAAAGGATGTGGAGATTGTCGTAATAATAGTAGTTTAAGTAAAAATAATTGTCAGCAGAAAGAAACACCTTATACCGTAAATGATCCTTCGCAAATTAAAATTTCTCCTTCTTCTATACCCGAGCCTACATGTTCTAGTTCTACGCAATGCAATGATAGGTAATTATGTTTTTTTTTTTTTTTTTTTTTTTTTTTTTT